TCTGGAGAGTGAGGCGCTCTGTATGAAGCACTAGCAGACCAGTCCAGAGAGACCAGGAGACCGGTTCTGTGAGGGACAGGGTTCTGGAGGGCAGAGGGCCACCACCCAGGCTCGGGACTCTCCTGTCCAACCGATTCGACCTGTGTATCCGTTTTCAGCAGCACGAGAAACTCCAGGAAGAAACAGCCAGCAGTTCAGCTGCGTGACTGCAGCTCACCATCTGCTTGAAAATGAACTGCAGAGTTAAAGCTGACAGCCGGGAGATGAAGTTGCTGTCTTTTGCAGGCCGGAGAACATCTGAAGTGATGGAAGAGAGAGAGCTGGAGTGTTGTAATCAGTGATAAACTGCACTTTGCCCTGGCCAGACCTGACAGAAGATAGGAGGACTCTCTTTTTAACAGAACAGTGCCCTTGGTGTAGACTGGGGAGGAGCAGCTCACTGCAGTCACAAGACTGATCAGGAGACTGTGCTTCAGCACTAACAGGACTGTGTCCTGTGTTGGTGTCCATGGAAGTGATACCTGATATGCTAAATGTGCAAAGGTTTTGAGAGATTGCTACGTTACATACTGTGAACTCACCACGATTCCTTGAGCTTTTATTTTTGTGCTCATTTTCTGTGACGTCAAGTGGCTGAAAGCACTATTCTCACTACAGCTGGCTCGTACAACCCATAAACACACGAGCCTGTACACATACAAACCAGCCCTTTCTCACACACACGAGCCTGTACACACAGACGAGCCCAATCACACACAAGCCCAGACACACACGAGCCTGAACACACACACAAGCCTGAATTCATGAGGTGGGTGGAAGCTGAGGCACGTGGGGAAAACCTACATGAATACCACGCAAACTCCACACAGAAGGTCCATGCCAGACTCAAACCTAATCCCCACACCTAACTTCCCATGTTCTGCAAGGCAAGCACTGGTAACTGCCAGGCCACTGTGCCTCCCGTTAAATATCTTAAAATGCTCAAATTTCAGGACCATTATGTCTCAGTGGGGCCCATGTATTTTATGCATCAGTATATATGTATTTAGAAAGCAGGATGGGCTGTTGAATGTGACCCAAATGGAATTACCTGCCTATTACCTGTTATTGTTTTTAGATGCTCACAATGAAAAACAGACACCTGACTTTACCAGACTGCACTGGTACCTGCTGACAGTCATGGCGCTCAGGACATACTGGGGCTGCAAGCAGAGTTAGCGCACAGCTTGTGTGGATCTCACATTCTTTTACCATTACACACATGTAGATGGCTGTGGAATTAAAAACAAATCTCAAACCTTGGCAATAAGTCCATCTCTCTGTCTGTATTATTTCTCTTCCAG